CAGGGTCCCCAGTGATCCAAGTCTTCAGGCCCCTTGGCTAGAATACCATTATGTTTCCATATACCCGATGCAGTATTCTTGTACACCTCTTTATGTGTGTGCATGCTATATGTATAGACTTGTACATGTAGTGCAGAGGCCACAGGAGGACATAACATAACCTGTCCTGTTCCTTCACTGTCCATTTTTCCCCCATGACAGGGTCTCCTGATGAACTTGGAGTTAGGCTGGCTGCCAGCAGGCCCTGGCGATCCCCCTGTCCCTGTCTCCCTTAGCACTGGAGTTATAGGTACAAATGTGAACACACACTTGGCTTTTTATGTGGGTGAGGGGGATTTTAACTCGTGTCCTCATGCTTGTGTAGCAAACACTTTACTCCTGCGTCACCCCCTCCCCCAGATCATCCTACATTTTAAATTACTTTTGTATTTAATGCAGTCCAATTACTCTACAAGGAGCTGTTATTTGGGAAGTTACAAGAAAAAACGGTCTGTATATGTTCAGTACAGATGCAGTATTTTAAAAACCACTTTTGTTAATTCCTCGAGAACTTCTTACGGTATATGCTGATTGTATTCACTCCCAGCTTCTCTTCCCAACTCCTCCCAGATCCGTCCCCACCTACCCAGCCCCTCCCAACTTCACATCTCCTTCCCTCTCCTCCATATTAACCCACTGAGTAATTTATGCACACTGGAGCATGTCCAGCCTAGCACCAGCCACACCTTTGGAGACCACCCCCTCTCCCATCAATTGTCCGTAGCTCTTCAGCTAAGGGTGAGGGATGATGAGGCCCTCCCCACTTTATGATGGAGTGTTGACTGGCTTGATTTTGTGCAGGCAAACACAGCTGCTGTGAATTCAGCAACAGTGGTCCTGTCATGTCCATAAGACACATTGTCTCCAGTTCTCACTGACCTCTGGGTCTTACAATCTTTCTACCCTCTCTTCCTTGATGGTTCTTGAGACTCTGCCCCCCCCCCATGTTGTAGATGTTCCATTTCACAGTCAAACCAACACATTGTGGGTCTTTAAAACTGACTGCTGATAGAGTCTCACCCCAGACAATATGATGCAATACAGACATGATGTGACTCAGCACCAGAAACAGGAGATTGTTAGAAATCTTCCCAGCTGCTTCTAGTGCGAGGCAAAGTTTAAACCTCTGCCAACCTGCTGGGCCTGTCCTCCAGGTTTCTGACACATGGATGGGGACTAGGGCCCTGAACTTGTATCTCTAAAAGCTTGTGGGTGGTTCTGAAGCTGTTTCACTGGAGGCTTCCCTTTAAGAACTTCTGGACAGAGATGCCCTTGTAGAGATCAGAGGGATCCCATCTCTGGGATTCATGTGATGGATGCTGTTGTGATTTGGGTTTGAAATGTCCCCCAAAGGCTTATATGTTGAAGGTACCAAACCTCCAGTGCAATATTCAAAGGTAATTGAACCCAGAGGGCTGTAATCATTGAATTAATATATTAATGGATTTGTGACTTGATAGTGTTTGGAGGTGGGGAGAAACTTGAAGATAGGGGCTTGGTGAGGGAGTTGTTTATCTCGGTAAATAAGGATCAGGATAAACAAATAGGCCGAATAGAAGGCCGGATAGATGTTTATTCAGGGAGAAATAACTTACAACCTAGACAGATGAACACCAGGAAATTCAACCCGATCCTCTCCTGTCTGAGTCACGCCAGAAAGAGAGCGCCTTTCCTGGCCCCCTCCGACCTCCTTCCACAGGTCGCTCCGCCCATGGCTCCACCCCCCAATGGGCGTGGTCAGTGCCACAGAACTATCTCACTACAATTCCCCTTTTAGTCTAAAGAAAAGATTTAGGCTTAATACAAAACTATATACAAAACAGTGAATAACAAGTGTGCTCTAAGAAAAGGAAAATCGAGAACAAAATGACCTACATATCTAGTCCTAGGGTGAGGGCAATATGGAGTTTACAATAGAGTTGTCCTAAGCTGGAAAACATAAGTCTAGCACCTAATATATCTAACTAGGAAGAGAGAATAATAGTTGTGATAGTTTAATCTTTAACCTCATCCAGACCTGAGAAGGAAATTAATACTAGAGTAGACAGGAAATGCGGATGGACACCTTCCAAAAGGTGCAGCAAGGACAGAAACAGCAAGCCACCTGAACAGTCACCCTAGGTCTCACAGCCACGTTGGTACACCCAGATTGGGCTAAGGCCAAGAGAACTTGACAGACCACAACAACAGCAGGGAGGTAGAATGTCTGTCTTACCCTGACTTGGCAAGGTCAAGCAGTCTTTTATATTTGTCTCCTGCAAGCACATAGGACTGCATGTCCAAATCAGGTCACTCCGCCCATGGCTCCACCCCCAATGGGCGTGGTCAGTGCCACAGAGCTATCTCACTACAGTTGTTCATTTGGGACATGGCTTTGGAGAGTATTTCTTGTCTTTGTTCCCTTCCTGTGTTTGTTTCCTGCCAATGAAGTGAACATCTGTGCTCCATCATGCTCCTTTCCATGGTCCATGTGACCAATGGACCAAAATACCAAAATACGTGAACCCAAATAAGTCCATTTCTTTTTAAGTTGCCAGATACTTTGTGACAGTGAGAAAAGGGTGACTGACACAAACGTGGCCGTTAGTGATGCTGACTGAACAAGGTCAGATCTAGACTTGATGTAGGAGGAACCATGGTTTTAATCTTTTCAGCTTTTTGTCGTAAAGCTGCAAGCTTAGAGCTAGCTCAATATTCTCAAGTGGTTCTATCATGAAGATTCTGCCAAAATATCTGTTGTCTGAGTGACAACAAGAGCCTTGTTGCTTCCCACTCTGATCTTTCCCTTGACTTCACATCTGTATTTTAATAGACTTCAATATCACATGAATTAGTGGAAAATGTGTATAAAAAGGAAGCTGTAAATTTGCTTTAAAAGTATTAAATCACACACTTAAATGGATTTTTAGTATGTAAATTATGCTTCAATAAAGCTCCTGAAAAGGCTGGGCCAACTGGGGTGGTTGTCTTGTGACTTGGTATTTGTCATAACTTTGTAATGGGTTTTATTGCAGATGAGTCAGACTGCAGTGCAGCCACAAAGGGAGGACACACTGTTCCATAAAGATCAAGTCAAATGGATCTCTCAATGAGGGTTTGCTGGTCATAGCTGAGTTGACTGGCAGTTGGACAATTGGCTGAGGACAAAGATGGAGAGAGTGTGGTTCTCAATGTTTATTGGGACAACTGAGGATTGTACTCATGGAAGGGGTTAAGTTTTACAAAGTACAATGGCAGAAGCCACGAGGATTTATGGAGCAGAGGCATAGAATCCATACAAGACTCGCTTTATATAGTTTGTACTGTCATGTCTGAGTATGAGATAAGAACAGAGTCATAGGCTTTGGGAAAGGGCCATGTCTCCTATTGAGAGATGAAATAGGTTGTGGCCTTTTGGTTCTTTGGTCTACTCTGACCCATTAAATGCCCAATGGCCAACTGGGAATTGGTTGTGTTGGGGTGTCTCCCAGTAAGTGTAGTATACACTAGAAGGTTTATCACTAGGGGACAGGAGGCTGTAGAACTTATTCATTTTTCATCACACACCATTGGGTACTCACTTTGGTGACAGTAGCTTCTCCTCACTTCTTCCACACAGGGAATCGGATGCAAAGACAGAACAGAGGGGCTGGTGGTGTGTGTGTGGAGACTGCAGAAATGTGTGACATGAAGTAAGATAAACATCATTGGGTTTTGTCATCTTGACAATCTAGAGTTACCTGAGAAGACAAAACCTCAACAGGAGAATTGCCTCCACCAGATTGGCCTCTGGATAAAGCTATGGGACATTTTCTTGAGTAATGATTGATGTGGGAGGGCCCACCACTGTGGGCAAGGTCTTCACTAGTCAGATGAGGCTGGGCTGAGGAAGCCTTGTATCTGTGGTGGTTTGAATAAGAAGGGCCCTCAGACTCTTACAATTTTAATATTTAGTCACCAGGGAGTGGCAGTAGTTTCAAGGATTAGAAGTAATCATACAAAACAATGGGTTTTATGATGTTTTCAGGAGTCTTGTGAATATAGACTTAGCTTTGGATTCATTAGTCTGAGTTATTTTGATCAAAAGTCTTTGTTGGATGCACGAACCCCACACCCATCTTCTGTAGTGACTGACGGGTTCTGTGTAGAGTCAAGAAAGCCAATATGGGTATGGCCCAAGTTCAACTCTTTCCAGAAACTCCCTGTTCTCCCTGGGTTCCCTGTTTCACATCCCCTCCCCCCAGATTTTGAGAACTCCTTCAGTCATTTCATCTTGGAATTCATTTGTCCTCAGTGTTCTCAACTCCCCTATGAGTCCTTTAATTCTCCCCAGATCACCATCAATTCCATCTTTGTATCATCTCTATGAATATTGGATTTGTTTAAGAGACTTTAGGAGGCTTCACAGATGGCTCAGTGGTTCAGAGCACTTTCTGCTCTCACAGAGGACCCGCACTTGTTTCCCTACATCCATGTCTGATGGCTCACAACCACCTGTAACTTCAGCTCTGAGGGACCTGACTCTGCTCACCTTTGTTGTCACCTGTACCCACATCCACACACCCTGCCCCCATCCATATAATTAAAAACAATAAAATAAATTGTAAGAGACAAGATGACTTTCTTTATTAGCCAAATCAAACCCAGTTTCCCCCGATTCTGAGTCTATGCTGTGTCCTTCTTTGATCAGCTTATTGTGCTTCCCCAAAAGTCTCAAGATCCCACTCTGTTATCTGTCACTCCCTTTTCAATTGTATGTTCGTTCCTTCCTCAAACTCCACCCCTCCCCCAGAGAGTCTATCTCTTTCTGGCCCCTCTCCATTGATTCCTATACAGCCATGCTGTCTCCCCCAACCCCCACCTCCAGCTCCCTGTTCTAAGTCCTGTTCTATTTTTAGCCTATTGTGACATTAGATGTACTGTTCATAGCCTGAGTTGACATGTCTCCTCTGATGTCCCATCCACCAGACACACCCCATCTCTTTTCGTGTTCACAAATTTTTATTTTTAGAGTAAAACAAATTCCATTGGAAAAGATACCAGGGTTATTGGAGACCCTTAGGCATCTGACACCGAGAAAAAAATCAAACATTCCCCCCTCCCCCCACAATTCTATGCGTTATACGTCTGTCTTCCCACACTTCGTGAATTTCTCTTTAACGGATCTTTTTCACCAAATCGTAGACGTAGATATGGGTGTCGTCATCAAACTTGATGAAATGCACAGAAGGTTTGGCTGGAACTTGGTAAATGACCTTGCCGGTCTTTTTGGTTCCATCGCCTTGGGTGTACTGTACGGAGTTACCTGTCAAGACATCACTGCCTACTTCTGACTTCACCTCTGTTGGAAGAGACTCTGGCATGATGCGGAGGTTACCATCAATGTAATCATCTAGGAGCTGATAAATGTACAGGACCGGATCTTTCTCGTAGGTGATGTAAAACCAGGTCTTCATGATGGGCACCTGGGCCAGGACCACCCCCCTCCACTCATCTTTACAGCCATTTTTGCCCTCAAATTTGTGCTCTACTGCTTTGCCAACTATGGTGTTTTCGAGGTGGGTGTCTGTCACTTGAGGAAATGACACCTTATTAGGCAGGATCTTAAGTTTTGAAATCCTTTCGTCGCTTTGGAGCTCCAGGCCGTAGACACAGTCGATCCCATCGTACTTCACCAAATAGAGAGAGGGATTTGTCGGCAGTTGGTCTAGAACAATGGCCTTCCATTGGGTGACGGGCTCATTTCCTTCTTTCCATCCATGAGAAATTCTGCAGCCGATAATGTTACTCAGGGCCAGGGAAGGCCTGGCTCTCTTTTGCTTCTGCAGAGATGGCCTGCCCTTCTTACTCAGAGACATCGTGGTCACGGAAGCAGACCTAGTGCGGTAGGCCACAGCACTCCTGGTCCACTGTCTTGTGGCTATCTTTCTGTGCTTGGGTTTCATGCTTGCCCACTGTCTGGGTTTGCTTACACCAGACACAACGCCATTGCCTCAGCCATATGAGTGCCTGCAAGAACAAGAAGGGAAGGATGCTGGGCTAAGACTCTCTTCTAGGAGAACTTCCAGGCAGGTGGGGAAGGCAGCGCTAAACAGGTTTTGTCATAATGAATTAATGGGATATGAACAAATGATTCGCTACAGCTCACGATAACAGTCTCAGAAACAAGTTTCTTCTGTTTGGGGGCAGTTTGCCTCTGCTGAGGACCCTCTCCCTGACTGGCTAGGTCAATGGGCTGGGGAGGTGGTGTGCCTGTTTCCCAAGAGCTGAAGCAGGATCACAAAGGCACCAGAAGGGTGGCCATACCTCTCCTTCACCCTCAAGCCACGAGTTAGATGGCTGCGCCCGCCCCCCTCCCCCGACACGCCCAGGGATGAGGCCCTTCTGTTCACTGGCCCTCTGTATTGTGTCTCCTGATCCAGCCCCAGGTTTATTACATAAAGCCGTTCCGAGTCTCCCATTACAGGAGTACTGCGAGCCCCACTGAAGCGAGAGACTCATTTGTCTAGGCAACAGTAGCCATTTAAGAAATAATTACTATCTTATAAAACACATACGGACAAAGGAAAACACTGTCATTTTAGTGGAATGAATTTGATACTGCTATAAACTTAGAAGAATGGGCGGTCTAGACCATCCCCACAGCTACCAAACGTGGGAGGCAGTAACAATATACAAGGTAGATTCAAGAGTTTAGAAGGAAAACTTTCAACTTTCTGGTACTACAGAGGTCCCAGTTACTTCTTAAACATATTTACCCAAAGAGAATGTCTTAGTTGTTCAGATTCTGTCTCCTGAAAACGTTCAGGCGCCAAAAGCCCGTTGAACAGTTGCGGGGCTCAGGAGCTGAACTGCTTCCTTGGGCCGCCGCGAAGATAATGAGCCCACCTTCAAGCGAGTCTAGCTCCTCTATGCACGAACCACGCCCACTGCTCTGTGACATCACTGAAGCTCTGCTGCGTCATAGAACCCCCCATAGGCTGGTTTCTTCCCTAGTTACACACAGAAACGTCCGGTATCCAAGCCCTAGAAAACTTCTCATTACAGCCATCTGAAGGGAGACCCGAAGTAAAGTCCCCACCCAACCGTCCTGATGACTTATTTGAGTCACATTCTGTCCAAGTAGCTCACTCCCTCTGTGTGTGTGTTTGTGTGTGTTTCTTTCTTTCTGAAAAAGTCTCTGGTTTCTGAGCCACCAACGCACTTGAGGGTTATCTTTAAGCCATTCTCCGTATTAGAAATGTTGCCAGCCTCTTGGAGGCAGCCCACTGGATAACACACCGAAATTAGCTTTATTGAAACCCATAATTTGAGGAGGGCCAGTTTTATTCAAACAAACCTGGAATTTGACAGGATTAAATACCTTGTACTGAAGTCAACGGCAATCGCGAATTATGGATCCTTTGCAAAGAGCAAGGAAAAATTAGGTCCTGGGCCTGCTTCCAAAGTCAGGGTAAACTCATAAGAAATCCGTTATCGAACAATCATATTTTAAGCGCCTTTAAAATTCACCAGCACTTCTGGTTACAAGGAATTTATTAGATCAAATGCAGTAAAACAGGATGAAATAGATGAGGTAATTTCATTTTTGAAATATGGGAAGATAATACTGGGTATAGGTAAATGTGAAATTTACTTGCAAATTATAGAGGACACTTTAATGATTCATGCCACATAGTTCTTCAGAACTTCAAAAAAAAAAAAAAAAATTCTTCCCAGTGTCATCCTCTGTCCCCAGTTCACCCTGCCCAGCCTTTCTTCCCAAGTAATTCCCTTCTACTTTAATGTCTTAATTTTTAAAAATATACATATTCAGAGTTCACTGACTTAGGGTAACTTTATACATCTGGCCACTTTTATGAGTGTGACTTCTCCCTTTCTTTACGCTATCTCTGTTGTAAGCATGTTTCCCCTCATACGCTGAGTTTTACTCTTTCTCTGCTCTTGTGGTCACCTGCCATTATGTGACTGTTGGTTCACCGTGTGGATGATCTCAACCTGGTTTTAACTCAAATGTCATTTTTTCTCACCCCCCCCCCAACAAACTTCATCTTCTTTCTCCAGGCACCTACTGAGATTTACAGCCCGGGGATTTTTTTTTTTTTAAGGCTAATAAAATTCTCCTGGAGAGCGCGTATGCGCATACACACACACACACACACACACACACACACACACACACACCATGAGAGAAAACATCTAATAATAATAAACAAATCGAGAGGGTTTTCAAAGGACGAAGTACAAAGAGCCAATGAATACAAGAAAAATATGCTAATCGTAGTCACCAGCTTGGGAAGGAAAGGGTTTATCTCACTTCATACTTCCAGGTACTAATCTGTTACTGAGGGAAACTCAAGGCAGGAACTGAAGTAGAGTGCACCCAGGGATGCTGCTTACTGGCTTACAACCCATGGGACACTCAGCTTTCTTTACTTTTCATATAACCCAGGACCACTTGCCTAGAGGATGACTCTGCCCATGGTGGGCTAGACCCTCCCATATCAACCATCAAAAAATATATAATGCTAACAGATATGGCCATGGGCCAATGTGATGGAGACATTTTTCATTTGAGGCTCCTTCTTCCTAGGAATCTCTAGGTTGTGCCATGTTGATAATAAAAATTAAGTAGGACCCCTGAACATCTATGTCGCTTGCCATACTAGACAATACCTACAACAGATGTAGTGATATATTATTTGTGACTTATTAAAGCTTGACGAGGATTCAGAAAAGCAAAGTCAGCCTCATGATACAGAGATCAGGCAGTGGTGATACACACCTCTAATCCCAGCGGCCAGAAGCTAGGAGGTGGTAGTATACACCTTTTATCCTAGGACTCAGGATTAAGAGGTGGCTGAATCTCTGTGAGTCCAAGACCACCCACATCTACATGAGATCAAATCAGTCTAAAAGAGAATTATAGCTCACACCTTTAATCCCAGCACTAGAGGCCTATGAAGGACAGGAGCAAGTAGTCAGTATGAGTTCTCTACTATTCCTTCTTCGGCCACACTGAGGAGAGGCAGCAGTTTGATATTTGCTGAAGAGCTTGTGGATGGATCAGCCCTTTCAGTCTGAGGTAGAGTTAAGAAGCTAGTAGTGGGCAACTGTTTTGCTTCTCTGGTATTAGTTTGAAGTTTGAATCCCAATATCAGTCTCTGGGTCATTTATTTATTGTGTTGTAATAGACAAGCCATGGGGTAACTTAAGCTGCCATTCACGGGATGAATGGATGAATAAAATATGGTGTATATCCACATTTTTTGGATAGGAGTGAAGGTTTTCTCAGAAAATGGATGGAACAGGGAAGTATATTATGTTAAATTAAACAATCAAAATTTGAAAGGTTATTTGTAAAATTTAGATAAAAAGGGGTATTTAGAAAGGGAAAGGGGGCCAGTGGGGTGGGTGTTCAGGCAGACAATGGGGGGTAGGGATGAAGATGATCAAAGTGCAGTATATGCCTGCCCAAAAGTCACAACAAAGGCCATTAACTTGTACATTTAATGTGCTGTACTATGAAGGAAGAGAATGTAAATAATGTTTTGATTAAATTAGGGATTTGTGGTTTAGAGATACTCTAAATTGTATTTATATTTCTATTCTCTCAGATGACTGTTGCTACTTTGAGCTTGATTCAGCTGACAGGATATGGCAAAGTGGTTCAGTCTTTGAACGATATTAACCAATCTAGTGAGCTGCTGGGTTACCATGGGGGAGGAAGTAGCTAGAGATCTTAAGGGTACACCAGGTCGGAAGAATAATGCTCCCTCCACTACAGCTGTCCAAATCTTCATCCTTCCCTATGCTCTGAGTATGTTTCCCCAAAAACAATTTTCTGAAGATTTCAATCCCCAGTGGAGCATATTTGGGAGGAAATAGGTCAAGAAAGCCCTGACCTAAAAAACCAATTAATACTGTTATTGTGTGGAAAGTTCAATTATGAGACGGAGATTGGCTCCCTTTTTGCCTCTTTAGCCCATTGCTTATCTTCTGCAATGAAAACATCCAGTAAGGATGTCCCTTGATCTTGGGCTCCCAGCTTCCTGAGCCAAGACTCATGCAAGCTCTGCTTCATTATAGACTGGGAAATCTGTGTTATTGTGCTTTTATCAAGACAACAAGGGTGAAAATACCCCCAAGTCCTGAGCAGCCAGGTCATAGGGCACAGGAAAGCTGGCAGGATGAATTGTTTTTTATTGCTGACAGGAGATGACATGGACTCAGTGTTATCACGTGGACTCTAAGTGAGAGAGGGTAGCAGAGAGCAAGAGTATAGGTCAGAGAGGAGCAGCATGGGGGAGACTCAATCATTCACTGCTGGCCTTGGAGATGGAAGGGGCCAGTAGGTAAAGGGAAAGGTAATAAAACAACAGATCTAGATGAGGATCTAGGAAGCATTCCAGCCACCATTTTTAGGCAGTGGAACCCTTTTCAGAATCCTCACTTTAAAAAAAAAAAAAAAAAAAAATATATATATATATATATATATATATTTTATTTTACATATCAATCCCAGTTCCCTCTCCCTCCCATCCCCACCCACCTCCCCGTCCCATCCCCCGTCCCACCCCCCCTCCAGGGAGGGTGAGGCCTTCTAGGAGGGATCATCAAAATCTGTCTAGGCATTTGGGGCAGGGCCTAGGCCCTTCCTCATTCTAGGCTAAGGGAAGTATCTCTACATGGGGAATGTGTTCCGAAAGTCCTTTCGTGCACCAGGGATACATCTTGGTTCCACTGTCAGAGGTCCCTTAGACTGCCCAGGCCTCCTACCTGAGACCCATGTTCAGGGGCTCTGGGTTGGTTCAATGCTGGTTTCCTAGCTATCAGTCTGGGGTCCATGAGCTCCCCCTTGTTCAGATCAGCTGTTTCCGAGGGTTTCTGTAGCCTGGTCTTGACCCCTTTGCTCATCCCTTCTCTCTCTTTGCAACTGGATTCTAGGTATTTAGCTGTGGGTGTCTGCTTCTGCAGCTACTGGATGAAGGCTCTAGGATGGC